TTGTTCATAACTGAAATTGAAATAACATTTGTGTAAACAAATATATTTCTATTTACATTATTTACATTGTTCAGACTGTTGTCCTCATCTTTATTGCCATATTCACAACGTTTTGGCCATTGTACACTCCAGCATTCTTCAGTTGATTGAAATTTTGAACTGAACCCTTTATTTAGTCCATCAGAGTAGATTGTTCTAGTTCCACATGCCATGCCTCTTCTGAATGTCTCAGTTATCTCCCTTAAACTCAACTTTCCAAGTATTTTTTTTTTTCACTACTGCAGTAGCCAGGTATTGAACTCACAACTCTTTGGGTCAAGTCATTGGATCCAACCAATGCTATTATCCACTGGGCCATATGTCCATATATATATTTTTTTTTTATTTGAAATTTTTTCAAGCAATATCAGTACCAGTAAACAAAGCAAAAATGGGAATAAACAAAGTACAGTAATATTATACATACTAGTGTGCCTGTGCTGTCAAAAAAAAACAGAAATTGTTAGGAAGTTTTAGTAGTGAGATGCAATGAAACAAAAGTCTTGAAACACTGTATTGAAATTCAATAAAGTGAAGATAATGAATTCACAGTTAAAATAGAAGTCAATGAACTGTTTAGTTAATCTGTTCCATTTATAATTTTTAAATGTTCAATAATATCTAGGATTCATTGAAGTTGAAGCAAGATGATCACTTAATAGACAAAGGTATCTGAGTGCCTCCCATGAAAGTCTTGAACAAATAAAGACTGCAATCTAAGAAACATAAGAGTAAAAGAACTGATTAATTAAATTGTTCATTGTGTAGATAAATATTTTATTTGTAGATATTATTAAAATGACTAAATTGATTTATCTCCCTTCCCATTATAGATAGGACAGAAAATATATAAATAAATATACACTGATAATTATCATATGGTTTGATGATTATATACTTCTGAATATTTGGAATTACAAACAAACCCCAAGAATATAACCTATTCAAAAGTAAAGGAGATGCTATATTAGCTGAATAGGTTTTATAGATAAAATATGTCTAGCCTGGTCAGTACCAAAATAGGTGACTGCTTGGGAATACCAGGTGCTGTAAGCTTGGATGCGTGGGCGGTGTAATTGATAATGGCTGAGAATTGGAAATCAGAGAGTTGGGTTTCAATTCCAGTCAGGTTTGTTATATTCACTTATCCACAAATAGCCTTAGGTAAGACATGACTCAACTTCTCTTCCTAAGCTATGGGTTAATTAGTAGAACTTTTATCAGAAAAACATCACTATCTCCAAAAAAAAAATTCTTGCAATCTAAAAATGTTTTCCAGATTTAAATAACCTGCAAAAGGGTTATAAACCATAAAAAACAACTCAATCAATATAGATAAAAAATGATTTTAAGCAGAGTTATATATTAGCTTAAGTTGTCATCTGTTTTCAGAATTCAAAATAACATTCAGAGGAATAGGGTGGCTTCTGTAGCACAATGGTTAGAAAGCTAATCTTCTAAACCCATTAGCCAGTACAGTAAGTTCTGTCTTCCATGAATGTTCAATTATTATGGCCTTGTGCCAATCTAAGTTACACTTTGTAAATAAGCATGAAAAGAGGAATAAATATATAGTTGTAGAAAAATCTGTGAAAAAAACTAACAATAGAATAATAACCATGAGAATTAAAGCATTGGTTTATGAACTGAGTTCAATCCCTGGTTTGGGTGGTACAGACATAGACTCAAAAAAAAAAAAAAGAAAGAAGAAGCTAGCAGTAACTGAGCAGTACTAAAAAAAGATATGGATAGCAGAATTAGAACAATCTACTTTCATAAATTAAATAAAGGGTTCAGTTAGAAATTCTCTGAAGATTAATTAGATTGACAGATACCTGATGGCCAAAAGGCACAACAGTTGAAATATTGTGATAGTAACAACAAAGAGAAGGATATTAGTCCAACTGTAAATAAGGCTAACATAAAATTAAAAGCAGCAAATTGTTTGATACAGAAATTAGACAACAAATGAAAGTAGACATCCATTTATTTTGTGAGATAAAGGTTGTGTCCTGTTTGGTCAAAATTCAGTCTTTCGGTAGTGAAATTGGAGTGACTTCTCCAAGCCTGGACTAAGTATATGGAGGCCGTGTGCTGCCCAGACTATACTTGGTTGTATCAACAAGATCCAAAGGAATACAGGGACTGCTTGGTTGCAGGAATTGCCAGAAAATTGTCAGTGTTCACAGTTAAACACCATCGGAGCTCCACTCTGAGTTTCCTTTATGGATTTATATCCATAGCCTTTTCCGTGGTTGTATATGACTGTTCTATTTCTTAGATAGACTGCCTTCCTGGGCTGTCAATTCTCATCTAAACAAAGCAGCTGGTGTTATGGGGCACCAATTTCCTGCCTTCACCCATTTTCTCACTTGAAGCTGGACAGAGACTATTTGAGAAGCATGCCACAGAAGCATTTTATAACTAGTGGGAACTTGTTCCCATTATCACCCTGGCTATGACAACTTTTGGAACATATATAATAGATGAATATAAACATTATATACATTACGTGTTTTAGAATGAAACTTAATATCCTTGTATTGATAATGAATTACACTTTTCAGTAAATAATATGGTTTAAACTTCAAAGCAATGCCTCATTTCAAATAATTGAAATATTGTTGTTTAACTCTTTAATATAGATACAAGTATGCTTATAAGTGGGCAAGAAAAAGTAGTGTATTTTCTTGTGAGAGAAATTTTGTACATAAATTAAAGGTAAAGGGGGGTGTATTATACACAAAGTACATGGTTTCAGAAATTTTTACTCAGCTTAGAAAACCTCTTATCTAAAACAGCAATATTCAAATACACTCAGTTAACACAATAGATAATAAAACACAGAGTAGGCAGGTGTTGATAACAATTATTTACAAAAGGTATTTGATATGTCAGCAATCTTTGTTTCTCTCTTCATTCTTAATGAAAGACATTTTTTTATTGTCATAGTTTAAAATATATATAAATATAATAACAAATATAATAAAGTTATATCAAACAGAAAAGTATGATAGATTAATTAATACCTTAAAATGTATTAAGTTTTGAAACAGAAATTAAGTGAAGAAATACGCAAAGGCTAAAAAAACCTGTTCACTTTTATTCTTTAATATCATGAAGAATTAATACTAATTAGTGAAATATATGTATGACATTCAGATTTTGACAAACTTTAACCTTCAAAAGTGAAAAAAAATTTAAAAAAAGACAGTTTTTCCTTGACACTACTGTTATTTTAACTACTCCTCAGTAATGGCTATTGTTTAAAAAAAAAAAAAAAATGATGATTAGAAATCCAATAAAACCAAAGAATATAATGAAAATGAATTTATACATTTTCTTTGTTCTTAAGAATTTACAAGAAAATAATAAACACTATTAGATTGTTTATTAATACTATTTATTCTTTATATTGTTTATTGCAACACATCAGCTAATTGCTAATAGATTTGAACTTTATAAAATGGTAAATAATAAGGATTTCCATATAGTTGGTTCGCATATTTTAATAATTTAGTAAATGTTTATAAATTTATGAATAAAAACTTGTTTTCATATTTCTTTATAAATTGGTAAATGATAAATATTGCATTGAATTAATTTTAATAAAATTGTATTTGTTTTATTTCAATTTTAATCATTGCTTTTTAAAACAACATTGCCAAGGAGTGAGGGTAGTTAAAATAATAGTGGTGTCAAAGGAAAAAAATACAAACTTTTGACACACCATTTTTTGTTGGCCTGAAGGTTAAAGGTTGCCAAAACTTTAATGGATAATAATGGTAAAACTTTAAAAAAAAAAAAAAAAATTGTCATATTATACTCAAGTTGTATTATACACAAGAAAATACTTTACATATATAAATGTCTAATACACCAGATTTAAATTATGATTTTGTAGTCTGTCTCATACAAGATATAGTTATACATTTACCATTGGATCCAGTGTTCAAGCCCAGATAAAAATCAGGATTTCAAATGTTAATTGAAGATTGGCTTGATCCTATTTTTTATAAATATTCAGCATTGTGCTAGTCTCAGGGCATGGGCGATGATGGCTCTTCACAACTTCCTATCCTTTGTTTATCTTTTCACTATTTGTCTCACTACCTGTTCTGCTAGCCATTTCCACAAATTAATTAGGTAGGTTATGAGATGTTTTCCTATGTCACTTTTGCCTTCAATATGTCCAGTGAGTGTCAAGTTCTCCAATCCCTATTTCATCATTGTGTCCTAGAAATTTCAACTATTTTTGATCCAAAGTATAAGTGTCCTCTTCATTTCTGTTTTCCTTAAAACTTCCTCATTACTCATATGTTCAGTCTATGGTGTTTTCAGTAAGTTTAGTAAATATCTAAATAACAGAACAGTTTTGCTTCAAGTATAAAAGAACTGACTTGTTGGGAGAACTAAAAGACAGAAATTCAGACACATAGAAAATTGCAGCTAACTTATGAAAAATTAATGTGTTCTAAATAATAACTTCTTTGATTTACACAAAATTAGAAATTATCTAAAACTTAAAAATATTCTGTCTTTAGTGTAGTAACATTAATTGGTTTATACAAAATATTGTTTTAAACAGATTATTAAATAATTAAATATAAAATTTACATTATAAAATTAATCAGTCTCAGATAATGAATTTTAGTCAGGATAAATTAACTTTCAATTTATATGAAGATGAAGCTCATACAAAATTTATTTCATGTATGGAGGAATTTCTTTTGTGAGTCTGAATTTGCTTCAGGGAAAAATTCCATGAAATTTTACACAGCATTACAGACAAAATGGGTGATTGGTTCTTCAGAGTGTTAAAAAGGCATATTATTAACAAAAAAATGTCTTGAGACAAAAAGAAAAAAAGAGAAAAGTTCAAATTTAATCGACAGGTTTTTATGGCTGATAAGAGAAATAGTTAATCTAATCATAGTCTAATAAAGCAATCTGATCAAAGTTCACAAACTCAGCCAATGAAGTATAAAACAACAGAAGCAGGAAAAGAAGATGGACAATGAATGTAAAGAATGCAAAAAGAGAGAATTTGGCAGAAAGAGAGAAGAAAAAAAGCAAAGAACTAAAGAAAGCATGATGAAAAGCAAAATATGAGAAGTGAGGGTAAGAAAATATACAAGAGAAAGAAATGCACAAAACAATGATGGTGGTGGGTAAAAAAACAGATGGAGATTCTAACACATAAAGAAAGGACAAGATTATATATCGGCATCATGTCATATATGATGAGAAAGAGAACCAGAAACAAGTGCGACATTGCGATGGCAGAGTGGCAGAAACAGTTGCGACATGCAACAGCAGAGAGGAAACAAAAGCAACACCTAATGACAGCACAAGAGAGAGAAACAAGAGTGACGGAGAGTGAGAGAGAAACAAGAGTGACGGAGAGTGTGAGAGAAACAAGAGTGACGGAGAGTGTGAGAGAAACAAGAGTGACGGAGAGTGTGAGAGAGAGAGAAACAAGAGTGACGGAGAGTGTGAGAGAGAGAGAGAAACAAGAGTGACGGAGAGTGACAGAGAGAAAGAAACAAGAGTGACAGAGAAAGAAACAAGAGTGACAGAGAAAGAAACAAGAGTGACAGAGAAAGAGAAACAATAATGATACGTAATGACAAAAAGAGAGAGAGTGAAGCAAGAGACACAATGACAGTGAGAGAAGTAAAAGCAACATGTAGCAACAGAGAGAGTGAGCGAGAAAATGAAATGAGTGACACACAACAGAGAACCAAGACTAACATGCAATGACACTGAGAGAGACAGAGAGAGATTGTAAAACAAGAGCAACGAGAGAGAATAAGATAAGAGCAACATGATAGAGAGAAAAGTGCGATATTCAATCAGTGAGAGAGAGGAAGATAAGAGCAATATATAATGTGAGAGAAAAAGTGTAACATACAATAAGAAAGAAAGAGGGAGAAACGATACACCAAAACTGACAAAGAGGGATAAGAAGAGAAGCACAAACAATGCATGAGAGAAAAGAGACATGCATGCAATGATACAAGGAAAGACAAAAACAAAAATAAAGAAATATGTCAATAGAATGATGAGAAGAGAAATAGTAAATATGTGTCACAGGAGAAACAAAGAGTAGCCAAGAAGATATGCTGCTAAGAAAAAAAAACAAAAAACAAAAAAACAAACAAAATAGCTAATCATTTTCAAGATCCTTACTTAATGCACAACAGTGCAGAAAAGGTTTTTGTAGTAATTGCTGCCATTGAAGAATCCAATCAAGTGTTCAGCTGTTTAACAAAATTATTATTATTATTTTTTTTTAAACTGATTTACTTGTTCGTGGCAAAGTTTTGTTTTTGGGACTATGATGAACAAATCAAACATACAAAATCAAACCAATTTACTTGTACAGAACAATGATTACCAAAAAGGTTTTGGTCATCAGAATGTGAAAGAAAAGTGAATCTGAGATGAGAAACGACATATTATAGAGAATGAAACATATCAACTGGTTGAATATTTCTTTTTTAAATTTATATTAGTTGTTCTCTATTGTCTTAGTTTCTTAGAAGCACTGTCATGATTAATTTTTTTTTTAACTAGTTTTCTTTTGTTTTATTTATCAAATAGATATAGTATTTAGTTGTTCAGATTTCTTCTATGAAGCACTGTTGTTCAATTATTTTGATGAGTTTTATTTTCATCTTATTTTCATTGTCTTAATGGTAGTCAGCTTCATAATCTTCAGTTGCTTAAATTTCTTAGATCATGAGTCTCTAAACTTTTTGTATATTCTACACAGTTTCACCAGCAAAAGGAAAAAAAATCACTTTAATAAATTAATAAATAAGTTTTATTTGGATAGTTTTTGGAATCAGCACAATTTACAAAACTGAAATGTGACAATTTCAAACAAAACAAACCATGACATGGAAAATGGAATTGATATAATGAATATGCATACACCGGGGTTCCCTCTCACAGTAATATGATTGGCTGGTGTCAAACATAAATACAGACTGATATGGAGGTACATGGACTACACCTATTGCCTATCACTACAACGAGGACCAGTCCATTAGGGTTACCTGCTAGTTTGTCCTAGTCCAAAACCACTTTGCTACTTCAAACAAATATATCCCTTTCCGGGACATATCAAGAATCTACCTCCATAGGCTGAATAAAGGTCACTAAGTATGAAAGATTCTTGAAGAAGGTTGGAAAGTATAATGGTTGAAACATTGTTAGCATAAAAAATCAAGATACGTATACCAGTGTAAATGGAAAGACTCGTAGTAATGATTATTAATCATTCTTATTTTTTCCTTCACATTTAAGCTATGGAACTTCCAGCCTTCTTCAGTTTTCTTTTGTTTCCTGGAATGTTGTCAAATCTTGTTCTCAGGTAGCATCTGCATTCCTTCTCAAAAGTCACATATTTACCTATGCATTTTTGGCGTTGTTCCTGATCTATGCTCTAAACTTGTGACCACCTGATGCAATCTGTACATGCCTGCATCCATAATTGCTTGTTCCTATCTGATCAACAGTTCCAACAAGTTATTAATGTGTGTGCTCGGTCAACTGACTGAGATTCAAACAAAATACCACAACACAACAGACACCTTAGGAACACTGTAGAGTACACAGTAGAAACGTATGGATGTGCAAGTAGTATAATGGTTAGGGGCTAGGAATTAAAAATTGGCAAGTATAGTTCAAATTCTATTTATTACATTCACTTTCCCACAAAAACCCTTGGGAATAGATATGGATCGATCTCTTCTCTTTCCAGCTATGAGTAGAATAGCCATGAAAAATATTATGGTTTCGCATGGGGTTGTGGACTACGATCTCAACTTTGGTTGATGTGATAGATAGCTAGATAAAATTACTGCCTCATCTTTAGATGAAAGACTTAGAAATTTACATTCTATAAAAATTGATGCAGATTAAAATAGCAAACATAATTCTGAATATATAAGATTCAATAAAACAATTTTAATATTTTAGAATAACGGTCTATCTTTTATTTTATTTTGGTTGCTTTTGCTTAAAGATTACTGAAGATTATACTGAGAAAAAACAGAAGTAATGTCTAAAAGAAAATATATTGAAAACAAACTTATTTTGAATAACACCAAACAAAACTTACTACAGTCTTTTCTTAGGAGATATTAAAATCAATTTATGTTTATGACTAATAGTAATAATGGAAATAATCATTACAACGGTCATAGTGACCATGATAATAGTAAAAATAGTTATTACAAATTTTTGTTCTTAAGACCATAGTGTCCTTATCTTATTTATAAAAGCAATTGAAAGCCTTACTAATTAAATAATGTCATAGTTTTATTTACATTTTTTATTTTATGATTCAGTGCAGATTTTTGGTAAATGTTTTTTCTGTTTGACAAAAACAAATTGATGATTTAAATTCTCCAAGGAGTCTTGCTTTTAACTAATATAAATATATGAAGAGGCTGAAATTTTAATTTCTCAAAATTTCATAAAATTAAGTAAATGGGGTAACATATGTTTATATATATATATATATATATATATATATATATATATATATATATATATATATATATATTATATTTAAGATTTTCTGAAAATAATTTCATTCATTTGTGAATAAGTCCTGAAAGTGTCATTAAAATCCGACAATTATTTGATTTTTGCAAGAATTTCCAAATCAATGTTTTTAACACCAAAAAAGATGCTAAAATTTACAATACTAATCTTTGGCCCACCCACTGACAAGAAAAACAAGATTTTTAACTCAAATTTCAAAAGTACTCAAAAGGATTAAAAAATTTATTAAAATAATAAAAAAATACTTTGGTCTTTCCTCTTAGTAATAACAAACATTTTGATGATAAAACTTTATTTTTATCAAGCATGAAACCTTTTTTCATCAGGATATGCTCTTTTTAAAAAGTTTTGGAGGTACCTACATAATAATGACATTGCTATTTACAACATTGTAATAAAAAATTAATGCATTGAACATAAGGGTTTTACATTTTAAGAGTGATTGCAAGTGAAATTTATTTTTTGCTCTGGTTTAAAAATTAGTGATAACAATGAATTTCAATAGCACCAAAGTACAAGGCAACTTATAGTTACAATCATGAAATGAGTTGAAAATTCTGGGATACATAATGAGAAAAGTGGGCTTGGAGAATCTTAATTATAGGACATACTGAAGACAAGTAAAGTAAATGGTAAAGTAAGGAACTTAATGATTTTGTCTGAATGAACAAGAACAAAAAAAGATGGTAAGTGGTTAAAGCAAGAAAAGACAAGAAACTATGGAGAGCTATGATTGTCCACATCCAGAAGTGACACATAAGAAACACCAAAAATGAATATAAGATCTTGTAGCCATCAGTTTAATATTCTACCATTAGTTTCAGTATATGTAACAATAGTGTTAAAAAATCATTAAGAATAAAGAAAAGAGTACATAACTGTTATGTAATATCAGTACTTCTATATGGCAGTGAAAACTGGACCATTTCCACACAGAAGTATATACTTGAGACAATAGAAATGTGGTTATATAGAAGAATGCTGAGAATACTATGAACTGAACATGTGAACAACAATGAAGTTTTAGAGAAAATGGAAACAAAAAAGACACTTATACTTAGAAAGGGATAGTTGAAATTTCTAAAGCACATGAAGAAAGAGGGCTTGGAAAATTTAACACTTATAGGACATAATAAATGGGGTGAAGGAAAACAGTGTATAACTTAATGAACTTGTGTAAATCAATAGCAGAACAGGGTTTAGTAGGGATAGCAAAAGGATAAAATTACTAAGAGCTACAACTGCCAATGTCCTGTTCAAGTTAATACTGGAAGTATTTATGAAATTAATCCTGCTGATTTTGTATTGCCTAACAAGACCAATGTCAACATACACTGTGACCCACACCCAAGCTACCAATCACCTGACCAATGATTACACCCATGTTGCATTTCAATTATCGATCTAGTCATTTTGCACCAAGAGCTGGGAAAGGGGCTGCTACATGCTCACAAGGTAACACGTTGGAATACAAACATGAACAAGATTTCCCATATTATATGTAGATGTTTTATTCAAGGCTTTGCTTGTTTGTCTGGGTAGGTAGGTAGGTAGGTAGGTAGGTAGGGAAAACCTATGCTGGCCTAACTGCTCAGCTATTCCCCCTACCAACTCCTTGCCCATGTACTCATCCCAACGTGGTGGCTGGTAAGATGAATGGATGGCACAGGGACTGAGTAATGGATAAGTCTGAATTCTGTCAAGGGCAGATCAGAACTTCTCATTCCTGTTAGTTTTTGTTATATTCACTTATGTGCAAATACCTTTGAGAAAGGTATGGATCCACCTCTTCTTCCCCCAGTATGGGTTAATTAGTTAGGCTTGTATCACTAAATTATCATCATCACAAATAATAAATTTTTATCATCAAAAAAAAAAAAAAAAAAAAAAAATTTAAATTACCTGGAAAAGAGTTGATAAGCTGTAGAAAACAAATCAACTTTTTACACTATCATTCTATGGTCATCAAATGTATAGACTGGAAATAAAGAATAAGTCTTTAGCAGCAAGACCCAAACTTCCATCTGTTATTCCTGAGGAAGCTTGTCTTCATGGCTTTATTGGTAAGGTATTAGCCTTACTTCAAGAGAGACTCTCTCAAATGATTTTATCAACAAGATATGAAATGATTTGAGATTAAGAGATGCAAATAACAAAATGAATAAAATCTTAATATTAGAGCTAATCACTTTCAATCGTAGTCAACCAGTTAAAAAGAAAAAAAATTTCAACATTTTTTTTAATTATTGTTAAGCAATGAGTTGGCATATTTCTAATTAAACTCTGGTTTTTCAAAATAACTTCCTGCAATTGGCATAAATGTGAATAATATCAGCAGCATTAGAAAAATCTACAGCTGATAACCATTAGAGGCCAAAGTAAAACTTGTCATCTTTGAGCAAAGATGACTGGAGGGAGATAGGGGA